TCTTTTCAACTATGTCATGCATATATTTCCTGAAGATGTAACTCAAGTATATAAAAAAAATAGAAGAATACAATCTAACCTGATTGTGGGTTAAAAAAAAAAAAGATTAAAGTATATAAAAAATAATTAAAAATAAAAAATAGATTTTATAAAAATTATAATAAATAAGATTAAGAATAAAAAAAAGTAATTGAATTTTAATTTTTGACATACTTTGAAAAGATAATATGGATAATAATTTGCAAGCAATAATATTAAAAATTAAAAAGATTTTTACCTTAGAGTAATAAATTATTTTTGAAGTTTTACTTTTTTAATAAAGTACGCATATATTGTTAAAAATGGGTTTCTAAAGAAGGAGGCAAGGACAAAAGTCAAATATCTCTTACTAGGAAACATTAAAATTTTTAAATTAATAACAATAAAAAAACTACTCACAATTGTTCTCCATTATTCAAATCATTTATTTATAGCATTTCCTGATTTTTGTCCCTATTAAAGTGAAAAGCTATGAATTTTGTTTCTCAAAAAGGAACATAAGTGATCTGCAAAATTTTATATGCTAAATACTTTAGGAACCCATCATTATATACTGTATAACTAGCCTGATAAAAAGTTAAAAAATATATATATATATAATAATAAACAATAAAAAAAAATAGTAAATAATGCGTTTGATTTTGAAATAATAATGATAATAATAATAAATAGGTTAAAACATATGCAGTATATATACTGTATATACTATATATCTGAATTATTTTACTAAATAAAACAACAATGTTTATTCAATTTAAAAAAGTTTGATAATTCTGCATATTAATAATAACAGAGTACTTGCAAAATATTTAGATAAACCGGACATTTTTATATCCTGAAATTTCTTAAAAAAATAAATTCGTTTTGAGCAATATAGAAAAAGAGAATTTTACTTAGACATAATATTTATCGTATGTATTGTTTGTATACTCGAATTGCGTTCGCGTCAAACAATACAAATAGCAAAATTTGCGACAAAATGAACGTGTCTTCGGGCCTTCCAGTTCGGATTCCTTAGCTTAATGAATTAGGCAGATGGTAAGGAGCCAGGGCTGGTGTCGAGAACTTTTTCTAAGAGATTTTTGACTGGAGATAAAATTTTTTCCAACGGGGGAAGTTCAGACAGTATGTCTTCATTCGATGAGACGCTTTCGAGTGAAGAGTATTCCATATCAGGATTAATACTATAAGAGGCAATTAATGAATTGCTAAAAACGATAAGAATTAAAGTGATGAATGAAAAGTAGACAGGAGAAAATTTATGCGTCATCTTTTACGATTTTCTTTTTTCTTGAAATCGTGAATGGATGTCGATTGAAGTCGAGAAAGAAATAATATATATAAAGAAAATAATTTTAAGCTTTGTTGAGTTAGTTACATGCAGAGTGAAAGTCTAAATGAATAGTTTTAATGAGCTTAAGTCAAAACCTTTACAGTAAACTTGATTTCCCTTTTCACGCTATGCGAGTCATGGTGTTTAGATGCTATTTTTTAAAGCCATAGGATTCTATGTTTAATTGAAAGCAAAACTGACTCATTGTAATTATCAAAACAAATCAGATCATTAAGACAAATACAAGTATGTGAATAGGTTTAATCAGCATGTCGCAGAGTCAATTTAGACGTTTTATTTTTAATATATGGTGTACATCTATAACAGATACTGTTCATTTGTAGGCTGCAAAAATCGAAGCACAATGTTGAGGGGATTGCCCTGAAGATCAACCGTCCCGAATTCATACTGAACAGAGAATACATCAGATTCACTCAATTTTGTGGTAAAAAAGCACCTAATAATATAACGTACCATGATGGGGCGAGTGCACCAACGGCTGTTCGATTATTTAGACAATAATGCCAAGCCTATTAAAAAACTTTAAATGATGCCGATGGCAAATGCCAGAAATTAAATCCTCTTGCGATTACTTACCGTCATCTCCGTTGTGCGTATGCCTGGTATATAGTTAAAGTTAATGCCAATTGCATCGTGAGTTCTATTAGGAGCGAGTCAGTAAATCTCTATTTTCCTCTTAAGTTCCGCCTCAGTTACGGCATAAGCGACCTCTATTACAAGACTGGGCCAGGGTTCATTCTAAGAGTACATGTCACCACCAACATTAGAATTCTCAACATGATCACATTAGAAAGCGAATGAGATAAACTCTTAATACCCCTCCATCAGATACACCACGGGGCACTTGAGGTTTTCCTTTGAATCGAATAGACACATCTGCTTCTTTGTCTGATTTACCTGAGGTTGTTGCTATTAATCAGAGATGGTGAGTAATAGAAACATACCTAGAATAGTAGCATAAAGAAAACCAACAAAACACTCGTCGCACCATAAAAAAGAAAGCCGAAGGAGTGTTCTTTACGGATCGAAGCGCGTTATACAATTTTCCATTAATTATACTGACGCAAATCTCATGAAATTTTGAAGGATTTCGTTAACAAGAACCGATTCATTTTCCCATTCCCAAAGACTCTTCATATTATATTTATCCGTTCTAATAATATACTCGTCTAAGGCGACATCAGTCTCTAGCACACATGGTAAGCTTGAAAATAAATATCAGTTAATATCAGACACTGGTTTATAAAAATAACCATTCGTCAAAGCAAATAGGAAAGAGACTTACGAGCTTCTTCCCACCTGGCCTTTGGGTGTATGTGCCAATTTTCCACAAAAAAAAAATGATATTTTTTTATTTCATTGTCTCCTCGATACTAGAAATAGAAGTAGAGGTGGTGGTAGTCTCCTGGGTCATACTTCTCCATGGAATAATAGAATCCGTATCGGTATCATTCCTATATAAAGTAATGTGGAAACTTTATATGGGAATGATACCGATACGGATTCTATTATTCCATGGAGAAGTATGACCCAGGAGACTACCACCACCTCTTCTACAGTATGACTGTGACCGAATAAGGTCACATCATTGTCACGTGGCCGCTAAATTTTACCGGAATTAGTATTAGGGATGTTACCAGTTTGGTTTTGGTTCAGAACTATATAGACTGATATTCAGACCGGTTTGATCTGCAGTCCTACATATAGTCCAATAATCTTATCATCATATATTTTATTACATGAAATAAATTTAATAAAAACATAAATGTATATATTTTTAATTCTTTGTCAGGCTAGTTATGTGTGTTTTATTAAACAATTGTAGGCTATACATTGTAAATATGACATTAAAACTAAATTTCTAATTAATTTACTTATTAAAGTTTTTATTTAGAACTTTAAATATAACTTTAAAAATGATTTATTGCTTTATTAGTAACTTAGGTAAAAACTAGTAATCACAATGGATCGAATTGGATCAGATTTTAACTAAATTCGATCTGATCCAGTTTTTATAAATATGAATCGGATATGGATCTGATTCATTTTAAACTGATCCGATCCAATTTGAAACTATAACAATTTGATTTGATCTGATTCGAATTTGAATTTGATTTGATTTGATCTGATCTGAATCTGAATCCGATTTGGATTCGATGCAAAAATAATTTGAAATCAATTTGATACATTTTGAATCTGTTTTAAAGCATATCAACTATAACTGCTTTGATTTAACTAATTAAATTAAATATATTTAAATTAACCTGGCTTTATTTTAATAAAAAAAATTTTAACTAGTATATTTTCTTCAGAAATATTTTTTGACTTTAAATTTAAAAATTTTTCTTTTATTAAATTTAAATAAATTTATTTATATAACCCATGGTCATTCGCTTGCTTCTATATTAATATACTCCACTCTATAACCAGTATTCTCTAAAATAACTTGATTTTCTGTATTATTTTTTTCTTTATTTTTTATTATCAATGTTTCAAATGCTTACAAAACATATTGATCAATCAATAATTGATTATGTTAGTAATCCATATAATATGTTTCTTCTTTACATTCACTCCATTTTTTTATAGAAGATATTGTTTTTTTGACAAATTTTAGGACAACCCACAAGTTATACCTTCCATCGGTAATACTATAGTACCATGCAATTCATTCTCTGACCAGCAATAAAGAGTATTTCCTAGTAAAAATTGTGACAATTTTAATTTGTTA